CGGGCATCCAGCCCAGTCCGTGTCGCTGAAGGCCACGGTGGCTCTCGGCAATCTCTGGCGCTTTCAAACACAGGTCAACGTCGGCGCGTGGATCAGGTAGCGCACGCACCTCTTCAGCATCCCCTGGTGTCGGATCGTGGGTCTCGCCATCCCGCGAGCCGCCTCCTTCGCCGCAAACAAGATGTCTGGCCGACCAAGGGCGCACAGAACCAGCCTCATCACTGCGCTCCTGAGGACGCCCTCGACATAATCATTCAGGAACTAATCGGTCTCAGGGTTAACAGGGATCTTCTCTGCCAGGAAGGTCACTCCAGTGGTCTGTTCATTGGTGCCAAGCTGCAAGAGTGGGACCACTCGATATCTCAAGCCCGCCTCATACTCAACGCTCTCTGGTCCACCACCCCCAGCAAGAGACCAGCGCACCGCGCGGTTCAGAATAGCGATCGACTTCCTGTCCCAATGTCTGGGGTCCATCACCCCGCGATCCTTGACAATGAACGCGTCGCCAGTCGGGTCCTTCATCCATTTGCACTCTCGTCTCGGCCCCTGTAGAATGAAGTCGTCTCCGTGGTGTAGGATGCGTAGGGAACGAGCCCCCAATGAAAAAAACGCAGGGATGGTGAACCCCGCGTTTGGCTACAGCCTCCTCGCTCACGCCCTGGCCCTTCAGCTCTTCTGGTCGGCATCGCGCGCCCCATGCAGATGATGCTTCAGCTGCCCGTCCTTGCCCGCAGCATGGTCAGGGTGCTCCGCTGGGATCTCCGCGCACAACTCCCTCCTGATGTATATGCGCGGGCGCGCCCGGCTGATGTCCAAGAACGCGAGTGCGACGTCAACCTCAGGATCTTGTTTCATAATCATGGCCCCCAACGCCATAGCCACCTACGCTAGCATCCGAACAGCTCCCAAGGGTGGCGTAGCACTGATGACCGCACCATTGCCGTGAGCGTCGATGGTGCTCCTCCACTTCGTCTCCACGTCTCAATCACCACGTGGCGAGATCGGTGCCCCTCGTCTTCGTCCAACACCTTGTAAGTACCCACCCAGCGCACACGAATGAGCGGCGTCCCGAATGTCGACGAGCTCCCAGATGTCCAGGTCGAACCCCAAGCACTTCATCTCCTCCTCCCTCGCGTGCCTCGCCAGGACCGGGTCCAGCGAGATGCCCGGCGCGTCGTCGAAGAACTCCGCCTGGGGGGGCTCGGCCCGCCGGCTCTCGGCGACCTCTGGCACCTGGTAGTCGATGGTGTCCTCAAGCCCAGCCTCCTCGAGCGTCGGACCAGCGCCCAATGCGCCCACGAACCCGCCTCCGTCATGGCCACGTCGAAGTGCACGTCGGCATCCTCGGAGGATCGAGTGGATCAGGGTCACTGGGGATCTTTCGGCATGCGAACATCTCCCGTCCAGGGCGTCGGCGTGGGCGCGCGTGCGGGTCGCGCGGCGACTGAGGCAGTCCACCGCGACCTCATCCAGGATGTCCGGCGAATTGCAACACCACCCCGTCGGCTTCATCACCGGCATCATCTCACCACCAGGGCCTCGGACATGCCGGCAAAAAAAAAACACTAGCCCCCACGTCTACACTCCGCGCCCCCCATGCCCGGCTGCTCGTGGTCTGCCTCTTGTCGAGCTTGATGATGAATGAGGTGGCGGACGGCCTCTCCCCTCTTGAGCTTATCTTCTGGGTGACCACGCGCTCGAGCTTCATCGCGATCGAGAATGGTCCGCAAGGCGGGGGCCCAATCATCGGCATGGGCCCAATATCGTCGATCTCCGCCTAGCACCTCTTCTGCACCTTCGAGTCTGACAGGTCCTAGCCGTGCCTGGCGTCATAGACGCCGTCAGCAGTGGGCCCAAAGACCCGCGCCTTCTCCGCGAAGCACCCAAGGTCGTAGACCTCGGCCAGTCCCACCGCCCCGATGATGCAGCCCACCTCCTGCCTGAGCGCCTCAACCCGCTGAAGCCACCTCCGCGTGCAGCTCCCTCTGGCTCCACCCCGGGCGAGCCGCCGTCGCGGGCGCGGCGCCCACTCGCCGGTGCTGGGCCACCCGCCGCGGCGGGCGGCGGCGGCGCGATGGCCGGCGCCGGTGGGTCGGCCATGGCCGGCAGCCCAGGGGCGGCCACCCCAGCCGCGGGAGCTTCGACCTCCATCGGACCTCTGCCTCCCTCGGCTGCGGGCCCTGCAGCCTCGCCTTGAACTGCTTCGCACAGGGCTCGTTGGATCTCAGCCCTCGCGAGCCGCGAGCCTCGCCTCAGCCTCGGCGTCGCCCCTCGTGCCCGTCTCGGCCCGGGCCTGGCGCGCCTCTGCGTGAGCCCGTGCTCGGACCCTCACGCGCGCGGCGTCGCAGCCCGCGCAACCCTCGGTGCACCCGTACTTCTCCAGGTCATCACGCTTGATGTAGACGCGCCGCGGCACCGCCTCTGGGCCCGCCGGCGCGGGGGGCAGCTCCTCCAGGGGCACCGCTGGCACCGCAGCGAGCCTGATACCAGGCCCGCGCTCGGCCGCCGCGCCAGGCCCGCGTCGACCCCACGGCGCGCCTCAAACCCCTCGCAAAAGCTCCCCATCAGCTCGCTCTCCCCCAAGCAAGCGTCGGAACGTCCGTGCCTTGCTCACCTGGCCAGTCGGGATCCCGATGAACGCGTCATTGGTGTCCTCGGCGATCCCCGGGAACACGCCAGGCTGGGATCTCGCCTCCAGCCTGCCGGCCCTCCCACCGACCGATCGGAACAGCACCTTCTCGCCGAGCTCGGTTAGCGCCCTGCTGCACGGCGCGCCGCACCGCCTCTCACAAGGCGTCTTCCCGTCAACAACGCAGCCGCCCATGTTCATGGCCATCGCCGCCCACTGAGCGAACGACGCCACCGCTGGTGAGTTGCCCGGGAGGTCCGCGCCTGCGAGCTCCTTCACTTCCTGCGCAAGCGACCTCGTCTTCGCTTTGATATCCCGAACGGCGCGCTCCGCCACGCCGTCCGACTGCGAGCCCCGGGCACTCGAGCTCTCTGGGACTATCCCAGCCCCGAGGCGCACAGCCAGCCAGCGACCCACCAGGCGCGTCAGCGCCACACGTGCCTCGGCGCTGCGCGCGCACCCCGCCCCTTTGACGGCAACGCTCCGCAGTTGCGCCGCTTGCGCCTGGAGTCGCTGCCGCGCAGCAGCGGGGCGGCGCCAATCTAAGATTCGCCGCGCCCCACAAGGTGCCCGTTGTTGATGCCGACCGGCCGCCGCGATGGCCCCCTCCGGCGGCGCGGCCCAAACGCGCTTGCCCGATGCCCCTCGTCCTGCGACGCACGCTGGGCACCGCGAGCAGTAGGGCTCACGGAGCGGCAAGCGCAACCGCATCTACTCAGCCATCGGCCCCCAAGGGGCGGCCCGCCTGTCGAGCGCCCGCGCTGGCGCTCCCGCCGGTCACTCTCCTGCCTGCTGCCCCAGCTCCTCCGCGATCGCCCACTCCTCTGCAGCCGCCGACCCAGCGTCTGCAGCTCCAGCTTCCGCCTCAGCCTCCTCAACCGGGCAAAGGCTTGCCCCGTTGGGCCTTGCGGGCGACCGCCCTGCCCGGGAAAACCCAGGTGCAGCGGCAGGACGTCGACCTCCTGCTTCCCGGTGATGGGGATCACGCCCCCGGCGGCCCTCGCGACGACGCCGCTGGCGTCGCAGCCGCCGTCGCTGCCGAACTCCAATCGCACTCCCCGGTCAACCATCTCACTGAGCGACGCGAGCGCCCCGCGAACCTCCGTCGCGAAGCACCCGGCTGCGAGCTGGGCCCAATCGCCATGCGCCCGCCCGCTCGCGACCTTCGAGCCTCGATCGTAGATTGCCCCCCTCGCCGCCGCGCAGCGTGACCGCCGAGACCGTCGTTCTTCAGCGGCGCTTCCAGGGGCCAGTTCTCAGGAAGCACCGATGTTGCCGCGCGCGAGTTGACCCCGATGTCCTGCACCTGGCCCTCCGTCTCGCCAATGTCAATATCTTGGCTCAGTCCTCGGATGAAGGAGCCCTCCAACGTCTTCTCCCGCTCGGGCTCGGCGCGGCCGTGCTCTCCTTCGCCCTGGCCCCAGTCGCCCAGCCAGTCGCCGTCCTCATCGAGCCCGTTGATGTCCCTGGTCGGGCACTGCTCCTTCGCGCGTCCTTTGCCGCCACAGTTGTAGCACTTCACCGGGCGACTCTTGCCCTGGCTTGTCTTGCATTTGCTTTGCCAAACCCTTTCTGCATCTCGAGTGGGGCGCCACCTTGGGGCCGAAGCGCGCCGCCAGCAGGCGCCCTGCCATCCCTCCTGTAGCGCCCGCGGCCCCCGCAGTTGCGGCGCGCCACGCCCGCCTTGCCTTTGCCGCCGCCCGACGCACTGATGTCCATCGGGGTCGGGCCGTTCGCGTCCGCCACGACCGTCTTCGCCCGCCTGCAGTTCGCGATCTCCGTTTCGAAGTCGACCCAGCTGGCGCGCTTGCTCGAGTTCAGGAGCAGGGGGTCTTTCAAGACCTCCTTCTCGAGCCCTTTCAACGCCATCCCAATGCGAATGTGTGGGCCGATCTTCTCGCCTGACCTCTGCTCATACCTCTCTCTCTCTAGTTATATATATATATATATATATATATATATTTCTTGTCTTTTCTCCCTCTCTCTCTCTCTCTCTCTCTCTCTCTCTCTCTCTCTCTCGCGCACAGCTCGACTCGCGACTGGATGTCGCCCGCGAAACTCCCACCCATCAGCTGGCGGAGGAGACCTGCGGACCTGGTCGCCGCAGCACCGTCGCACCCCTGGCTGGGCTGTCTCCATGATTGTAGACCTGTAGACCTTCACCGACTCCGCTGTTCGCCGCGACGTCGAGCGGCACGTTCCGCGCCAGCATCGCCAACGCATAGACAAGGGACGCGCTCGCTTGGGCAGTCTCTCCGCCGAGGTCGTCGTTCGTCACGGCTTCGTCCGGCGACTCCGCCGTCGGAATCAGCCCAACCAGCGCGCTTCTGCACAGGCCTGCGCATGCCCTCATGACCGGGCTCCAGTCAGCCTACTTTGCCTCGACCCCCTCGAAGGTGTCGGGCCTACCCAACAACCGCATGTTCCCTGCCTGCTCAGCGCCGCCGCCACGGCGCGCGCCCTTGCCTTTGGCCCCGCCGGCAGCAGCGGCCTCCTCTGCCCTGTCGGCGGCGGCCTCCGCTGCTCCTGCCGGTTGCGTCGCAGCCCGGGGCGCCTGCTCCAGCTGCGCCAATCTGGCTCCAACGCCATCGTGACTCGGGTTCCAGCTCACTGCTGTTTGGCACCCATCGATATCTCGGCCGCGCGCCTTGATCTCCTTCGGGGGGGGGGGTCCGTGGGCAGCGCGCGTTCGTCGTTTCAGCGCCAACCCTCTCGCCGTTCTGACAATCCCCGCCCGCCGACAGGCTATGTCGATGGCGCCCCAGCCACTGCAGTTCTCAGCGGAGACCTCGCTGGAACCCGCGGCGCCCTTCACGACCATGAGAACGGAATGTCCCGTCTACTCAGCCACAACAACATTATCCCAAACAGTAGCAGACACACATGCATGCAAACAATACAAATTCGTCTCGAAACTCTTTGGGGCCTCAATAACCGTAGAACGGGGCTCCGACAATCGCCAAAGTCTTGGGCTGCTACCCAGGACTTCTTCGACATACCCCGAACCACTTGGACCTGGGGCCCCGTGCGTTTTGTAGTTTTGCATGGTTAAGCACGAACCCGCGGCTGGCTGCGCTGCGCGCTGCCAAGCAAGGTGTGAGTGAACTGGCCCTGCGGGCTGGCCGGTTATATGGTACAACTATATATCAGGAAATAATACGAGAGTCCGCGCTGTGTTTGCGGGCTTGCAAGATGTCACCGCTTATGGTGAGGAGAAGCCTGGAGCGGGAAAGATACGGATGGCCGTTATTGTTGTAGCAGTTCCCAGTTTGCTGCCCAGGGCTTTTTGGGGTTAACCCAAACCACACTGGCACTAAACCTCCAACCTAAAATACCCCGATATCACGCTGGTATCCTGTCCGCCCCCGTTCTCCAAAGATCAGAATGTACGTGGCTGCGTTGCGCGCAGTCTGGGAAACAAAGATTGTATATACCGGTGGTTTGCAAGGCGCGCTAGGGTGGAGGAGGCCCGCCGAATGTGGCTGCCGATGCAACTGTGCTTGCATACAAAGTGCGATGCTCTGTGTGGAGTTCTTGGGCTGCTACACATGGACATAACAAATTACTCCGCTCGCAGAGTAAATGCTGCTGCGATGGGGCGGTATGCAGACGGGTGAGCAAACGCACAGCAAGCAGCAACGACTGGAGAGGGAATCCGAAGGAGAACATACCTGCTCCCCTGTGCACCCGAGGGGTGAACAGGGTATGAGCTGTCTTCAGGGTCTGACCCCTCGGGGTGGATGGGGGTTCCAACATAGCTAGCTTGGCATGGTCAGGTGACCATGTGAAACAAAGGGTGCGGCAGGTGAAATAAGTGGAGAGAGGATGACAACGGCAGGAGGGTCAGTTTGATGTGTGCGTCCTCTGTTCCAAAAGTCAAATGGTCAGCCCCAAATCCTCTTGCTATTGCAACGTATGCGGAAAAGAAAAAGGAAACGAAGCGGAAGTCAACGCCAGCAGAGTATTGAGAGAGTGGCACCTGTAATGCCTACTGTATCGCTGGCCTGCCGACATTGAGGAGGAGAGAAGATCAGTAGTTGAAGCTCCACGGTCATCGGGATACAGATGGTATTTGTGGTCGATGTCGTAGTATCCTGTGTTTCCTGAATGCTTGCGGCAAGCTGTGTCTCGGATAAGTTGTATTATTGTTGTCGTAGTCGTAGGTCTAAGGCTTGGGCTTGGGCGGCATCTTGCACAATCGTGGCATTGCCTTGTACGGTGGTTCCTCGAAGGGTACCTCTGGCTGGTAGTTGTTATGGAGGCTGGCGAGGTACCGCTCGTAACGTGCCTGATGCGAACGGAGCGTGTCGATGTAGGTGTGAAAGAAGATTCCTCTTCCTCCTCGTCCTCCGCCTCCATTCCTTTTCCTCGTGAATAACTTCTCCCTGTCGCACCCCTAGGCAAGTTGTTAGGGCGGGCCGGGCGTTCCTCCTCAGGCTCTCTCATCATTCATTACTCTGAAGGTTAACAAATGAAAAACGGTTCCACAGATGGAGGGCAGGTCGTTTTCAAGACGTGGCTCTCGCCCTAGCGCCTCGCACAGTCGTTCCAACATGCCTCTCCATCCTTCTCCTCCTCCTCCTTCTCCTCCTCCTCCGCCTGCTCCTCCTTGTCTTCCTCCTTCTCCTCCCCCTCCTCCTCATCCTCGTCCTTACACTCCTCCTCCTCCTCCTCCTCCTCCTCCTCCTCCTCCTCCTCCGCCTTCCCTCTTGATATGTAAGAGCACCCCAAACCTTTTGGGAGGGGCCCTAAGGGAGGAGGGCCAAACACATGAGGGATAAGGGGGTCTTTCTTCAGATGTATCGAACCAAACCGCACAGAACTATCATCCCCAATGCAGAGACGGGGGCCTCAGTGAGGCTACGTCTTCACCGTATTATTATGGATAGGATTCGTTATCCTCGATGACCTCCTTCCCTCTCTCCCTCCCTCCATCCCTCCATCCCTCCTCCTCCTTCTCCTCCTCCTCCTCCTCCTCCGCCTCCTCTTCCTGTCCTCCTGCTCGTGAGCAGCCTCGCACCCCCTCCTTCTGGCCCGCGGGCGGCCGCCGGAATGCGAAGACGTACACGAGAACGGTTACGAGCACGCCGAGCACAAAAGTCACGGCCACCACCGCGCCGGCAAAGGCGGCCATACCTGCGCCGGTCCCAGGAAGCCATGCCCTCGCCCTCGCGATAGGCCAAGCAAAAGAGAGAATACGGCGAAGGCAGTGGATATGGAACCATTGGACAAGAAACCCAGGGTCTGGAAGCTGGTGGAACTGCAGTCATGGGTTGGCGATAGATATCACCGCCACCCTCACTAGACAGGGATTCATCAGGGGTCCGAAGCCCCGTGGGCACATTCCTTAACAAACGCCCCCACCGTTGTAAGACGAAGAAGATCATGAACAATAATAGGAAGAAGGAGAAGATGAAGGAGAAGAAGAAGAAGACAAATAAAACAAAGAAGAAGAAGAAAAAGAAAACCAAAGCACTGCATAAGAGCCCCGCGAACTTCCCAGATCGGGGCTGGGCGCCCTCCCTGCCACGTGAAGCGCGCCAGTGTCCAGAGCCGGTCCACGGAATCCGCGCGGATCGTCGGAACATGAAGCACGTTCGGCCAGGCTTCCGATCAGTTGGGCCCAGGGAGGACCGACCACGGCGACAAACTCGCTCACAGAGAAAGTGAGGTCGATAGCTCCAGAGACGCACAGGTTCAGCAAACATTCGCGGCGAGGGAGGTAATGCTTTGCCAAGCTGCACAGAAAGTGCGAGGGAATAGAACGATGCTAGACCCTCTGCACGGCGACCAACGCGAGAGAGGATGGGACACCCTGGCGCGCGGAGGTGCCCACCGAGGATCCAAGAAATCCGCGCGGAGCTCCGAAAGTTTGTTCATGACGTTTTTTCTTGCTCGAGCGCCGGGGCAGGCGGGTCGGTGGAGGGCGCCCGCGGCGGGACGGCCTGGCGGCCGCGGCGCTCAGCGGCAGCCGCCCATCGCCCGCCGGCCGGGCGCGCGGCCAAAGGGGCGCGCCTCGGATCCTCTTAGGCGGCCGCCTGCTGCGCACGGCGCCGTCCGCCCAAAACTAAAGCATGTCACGGAGTCTGGACATGTGCGGGACAACACTCTGTAAGGACAATCGTTTTGATCATCGTCATCATCATCGGTGCAATCACCATCATCATCATCATCATCATCATCATCATCATCATCATCATCACCACCACCATCATCATCATCATCATCACCATCGTCATCATCATCGTCATCATCATCGTCATCATCAGAATCATCATCATAATCCGCATCATCATCAGTATCAGCATCAGCATCAGCATCAGCATCAGCATCATCATCATCATCATCATCATCATCATCATCATCATCATCATCGTCAGCATCATCAGTATCATCATCATCATCACCACCACCACCACTACCCCACCATCATCATCACCACCACAACCATCATCATGATCATCAGCATCAGCATCAGCATCAGCAGCATCGTCATTGTCATCAGCATCGAAATCGTCATCGTCATCGTCATCGACATCGTCATCATCATCAGCAGCATCAGCATCAGCACCATCATCAGCATCAAAATCAGCATTGTCATCAGCATCATCGACAACATCATCATCCTAACCACCACCACCACCACCGCCATCAGGGCCATCATCGTCATCACCACTACCGCCATCAGCAGCGTCACCATGATCATCAGCATCATCGTCGTCATCGTCATCGCACCCATCGTTGAGGTAGGTTGTCTCTCTCGTCGACTTCCTGCGCGCGGGCATTTCGTCATCATCATCAGCATCATCGTGATCATCATCAGCAGCATCGACATCGTCATCATGCCACCGTCGTTATCATCGCCATCAACTTGATAACCATCACCATCGTCGTCCCCGTCGATATTGTATCGACCCCATGCCCACTGTCATCGCCATCGGCATCAGAACCATCACCTTTGTCATCGCCATAGGCGTTGGCGTCGCGCCCGTCACCATCGCAACCAGCATTTCGCGACCTGGAGGACGGACTCGCCTGCGCAGGTGAGTTCCACGCGCCCGCGCGCTCATTGAGATCATAGCGATATGAGCTTGACCGACGAGTTGCGGAGGTGTGTATGTGTGTGTGTGTGTGCGATGCTTGTACGAGAATGGGAGGTGGTCACGCGCGGATGTTGCGCGGTGGGTCGACTGCACCGCACAGATTGCGCCTCGTAGATTGCGCCACAGAAAATGCCCCTGTTCCGAAACGAACCCCCGCAAGCTTTCAAAATTGTAACGCCCGCGCGGCGCCGACGCGTCGAGGCGGTACGAGCTTACCTCAAGCATCTAGAGCGCATTCGGGCGCCTTCAAAACTCAACATTGGCAGATATTTGACCTACGGGATTGGATTGGTGTGGTGCAGTCTCGCCTGGTGGGTGGCCGTGGGCGCCCTCGGTCGCGCCCCGGACGCTGGCCAGATGTGTCGAGGCTTCGCCTGGTGGGCAGCCGCGGGCACCTCCTGGGCGCCTCGCACATCGTGCAACACGCAGCTCGCACGGCATAGACTGCCGCAAACCTTTCCCACATAGCCTGCACCGCATAGCTCGCGCGACATAGCCTGCGCCACATATGGCCTGCACCACACATCGCTTACACCACGCTGCCTACGCAACACAACCTGTACCTTGGGGACGGCCAAAGGGTCTGATTTGGATGGGTCCCCAATCAAGTCGATCAAGATGGGGGACACGGCCAAATCCTGCCAAAACGGGCACCACACTGCGCCTGCAGCGCGCATAGGGTGTGCACCATATAGCGCGTTAGCGTACACCGCACGACCTGCACTGCACAGCGCGGAAAAGCCTGATGCTTGGGGCTCACGCCGGCAACTGGGGCGAGCAGCAGCAACGGCGGAAACAGTGGCGGAAGCGGCGGTGGAAGCGGCGTCAAGAACGGGAAGCGGGGGGAGGAGCGGGAGGGGAGTGAAACGAGAGGGAGGGGACAAGGGAAAACCGAAGGAGGTAGTGAGGCCATGAGAAATGCCCCTCCTAGATGAGGTCTAAGTAACTGGGGTCATGGTGTCGCGCCGCATCGCCGATGCATTGCCAATGTATTGGCGATGCATCGGCGACGTCGGCGATGCATCGGCGGTGCCGGCGTGGAAAATATCGCGCTCCACATGGAACCACATCGTCGATGCATTGGCGACGCGGCGCGATCCTCCGACACCATCCTCTCAGACCCCATATGGGGATCCTGGCGTAGACTGGCGACCGAATCACGATCATTCCCCTCGGGGAGGCTAAATTCCGCTTCCTTTTCGTCAAGATACCACTTCGTTCGTTTCATGTCGTGCACTTTGACTCGTCCGCTTGGGTCCGTCCGCTTGAATCCGCCCAGTTGTATTTCGTCTGGGCCTCGAACGAAAACGAAGCGAAAGAGGCTTCCGTTCGTCCAATGCCAGTTCGTCCCGGTAACAGGAAATAGCGAAACGGAAGATGAATGAACGAATGAGGACGACGCGTTTTTGGGCCAGGCGGTCTACATCATCTTCAAACCAGGCTGACGCATATGACATACAATTTCATGGTGACGCGCGCGCTTCCCAATTACCAACTACGAGACGCGACCTGCGCTCCACAGTCGATACTGGCACCTCGTCCGTCGAAGATACATCAAGTGCTTGAGCCAAACGTCCGCAGCGGCGGGTGGCTGAATGATTAAATGAAGCAAACAGAAATGAATGTCATCGACTCCCCCCGCGTCGGGCGCCAGGGCGGCCGAACAACAACGCTCCAATCTTCAGCACGCAGCGCCTGGGAGCGCCAACCCCAAAAACATTTTACAGCGCTCACATTCCGCGAAGGCCTGGTCACTCGAAGGGCCTTGGATTTATTAGACGGGCCCGCGGATCATCCCAACGCTGGCCGATGAGTCGCAGAAGTGACTACGTGCTTCGCGACGGCTTCGATTTCCAGTCGTCGATGTTGTTCGTCTTTTTTCATGTCTTGCCAGAGTCGCGCGTCCACGAAGGGTGGCCGCGCTCGCCCTGCCGCGTTCCAGATTCGCCCTTCCACTTCCATTGCTCATCCGCCCCCTTTCCAGACTCGCCCTTACATGGGAGATTCGCGCCCTTCCCCCCCCTGCGTTCCTGATAGCACCGCCAGTGCTACCAGCTTCGTGATGCATGTATGTTTGACGCTCGAAATGCACTCGGCACCGCCGGCGCCGCCGGTTTCGGTGGATGTGCTGCACCTCTTCTGGTTGTCCTTCTCTCGGTTCCTGCTGCTGTCGTTGCCCCAGCGGTCGCCAGACTTGGAGGCGCCCCATCCTCCTGAGCCCCTGATCATTGACTGCTTTGATCCCCTACCACTTTGGCCGAGCCGCCATGTTTCCAGCAAGGGCGCCGTCGGTCCCGCCGCTTTCCGCGCTCGTTTCGCGCCCAGTCGCGGGCGCGGCGGCAGCGTGTTCAGTAGGAGAACGGTTCCCAATGTCAGGATAGCTCATAATCCTGGTAAATCACTGGACCTTCTCTGTTACAGCACGATCAATTCTCTATCTCGCCTTCACTCTTTACGCGCTGCCGCTCGCCAAGAGGCAGTCCTAGCGGGCACTGCGCTAGTCGACGGCGCCGACTAACGAAACGCCCGGCCGCAAGAGAAGAAGGGCGGGAAGACCGGGCGGGGCGGCCGCGGGGGACAGGAAGGAGGGGAGGGCGCTCACGACTGCAAGCGCTTCAGGACGAGCGCACCGGAGCGGCCAGCCATGCCGGGATAAGCC